GTAAGTTACACACACACACACACACACACACACACACACACTGTGAGGACACATGGAGGTAGCCAACTGTGACCCAAGGAGAGAGAGCTCATAAGGAAGCAACCTGGCTGACACCTTGATATTCGACTTCCAGTCTCCAGAAAATATATATATATATTTATATATATATCAATTCCTTTTACTTAAACCAAGAACTTCTAGTGCTAGAATGAGGCAGTTCTTGAAAATGAGCTATCTAAAGAGATGTTATTATTCAAAAGAATTATTCACTGGTGTGGATCTCATACAAACTGTTTAGCTTCTCAAAACCTTAGTTCTCTCATCTGTCAGACTCCTATCTAAACCAAGATCCCTGACAATAACAATAGCAAATTGAGTTATTTCTAGAAGTAATTGCCGTGAAAAGTCCAGAAAACAAACTCAGTTTCTCTATATTCTCATACAACACTTCAGATACCAGTTGTGGGTTTGTTTTTCCCACACCAATCAATTCTCCAACTCTCTGAATATCACCTGGGTGTTCTACAATATAATTCAATCCTGACCTCACCCAGAGTTAATGTCAGATGGATGCCACAAGTTAAGGACTCAAATCCAGAAGACTGCTGCTAGGTCCTCAGCACTTCTGACCAACCAGCTACAAACTGGGGCTTCTTACAACCCCCTTCTCCGTTTCAATAATGTGCTAGAATGGCTTACAAAACTCAGTGAAACACTTTATTTACATTGCTGGTTTGTTATAAAGGATATAACTCAGGAACAGCCAGATGGAAGAGATGCATAGGGCAGGGCATTGAGTTGGCATCAGCAGGTGGGGGGTGGGGTGGGGGGAATCTCTGGTCTTGCCATCCTCTCAGTACTTCCAAACTGGAAAATCTTTTTTTTTTGCAGGGGTACTAGGGATTGAACTCAGGGACACTTGACCACTGAGCCACATCCCCAGCCCTGTTTTTTTTTCCCCCATTGTTAATAATTTTCTACTTTATTGAATTCAGTTCTTTATTTTCTTTCTTGTACTTTTTTGGAATTTAATTGATTTTATTTTTTTAAATACAAGACAGCAGAATGCATTACAATTCTTATTACACATATAGAATACAATTTTTCATCTTTGTATATAAAGTGTGTTCACATCAATTCATGTCTTTATACATATACTTTGTTTTTTGTTGTTTTGCATTACAATTCTTATTACACATCTATTACAGCCTGAGCCATCACATCCAGCCTCAACAAATCTTTCAAGATTATTTATAGAGCTTATTTCCAGTCTACCTCATCCCAGTCCAGAAATTGGTAGGCAGGGATCAAAACGACTCTCTAATACGTGGTCTTTCTAGTGGCCAGCCTCATCCTGAGATTATGTAGGGAACCCCACCACAAGACATCTGAACACAAGTGTGATTAAAAGGGGCTCAGGGTAAGTAATAAGACACTCATCGTTTGGAATTCTAAGAGTTTTAGGACCTTTGTGACAGGAAAAGTAAAAATTCACCCCAAAAACTTAAAATCACTACATTATACAATAATAAAGTAGAATATTTTATTTTTATAAAACTATCACTCATAAAATATTGTTACATTGTGATTATGACATTATGATTTAATCTCCTTTTTTAAAAGAAAGGTTTTCTGAAGAAATGGTTTGGAGTCTATCACATTTATCAGACGCTTTTTCGTTATTTTTTTCCATTTTTGCAATTCTAGATCCAAACTGCATGGCCCGTTTTGGTAGAAGAGCTGAGGCTGTAAGACCAAGTTCTACAGCTGCAAGACGTAAAATTAATTTTTCACCAACTCCCCGGGGTAGAGTCAAGTTTGCCTTTTCCCAAATCGGTAGTGAATTTAGAAAGGAGACAACATTTTCATCCAGGAAAGGAAATCTAAAATAAATAGATAAACAATGAAATTGTATAAAAATAAAATCAATCTGTTAAAGATTATTCATATAATTTTATGACTAATATTTAACCACATTAAAAAAGTATTTCATAATGTGACAATTTTAATACACGTTACCAAATAATGTCTCAAATAAATTAGATAAAGAAATAACTTCAAATTGTTTCACAAAGTTATCTTGGGTATGCCTTGAAAACAAGCATGATCTCAGTTAACTACTCATTCTCATCTGTGTTTGATCTTCACCATTTCTAAATAAACTGAATTTTAAGGATACAAAACCAACATAGAAGGGCTCCACAATTTTGGACTCAAAAAACACTGACTTATGGTATTCAAATTGTTTAATTACATTTAAACTGTTCAAATGATGACAAATTAGTATAACAGAACAAAATATTAGATTTAAAAAAAAAACTTTCTGCCTTTACACTTATTTCCCCATAAATTTTTGATTGCTTTTTAGTTTGTTTCCAATATTTTAACATCCCTTTCTCCACTCCTACCAATTTCTCAAAATGCAGTACGATGTTCATATTTTATTATATTTTTTTACCTACCTTTAGTAGAAAGATGGGAAAGCATACAGGCATTTTTTTTTTTTTTTATGTAGGGTATAAGAATGAACTAACTTCAAAAATACATATACAGACTAATCAAACAGATTACTATTACTATGTATTTAAAGATACATAATTATTTAGCTCTAACCACTATAATTTGTATTTGTTATAATTCTGTTTTAGCTGTTTTAAACACTTTTCATTTATACTCTTATATTAATGCAACATGATACTTTTATACTGGGCCATTAGAATTAACTACTCTTATCAGATGAAAATAGTAGACTATAAAACAGTAGACTACTTAAACAGAATTCTACTCTTTAGAAAGTACCTTGGTCTCTGAAGGTTTTAAGTAATCTGCAATGTGACTAAACTGGCTTTTTTTAAACAATCATAGAACCATAGAGGGAAATCTAGTACTGGGACCACCACGGAAACACTGAACACTCAAATATATAGGGATACAAGCAGATCCATCCAGAGAGACAAAGCCAGACTCTCTATCATTGGAGAAAAAAGTCTGGGGGCAGGAGCTTGTACTTTATACTGGCTTTGTTTAAAACAAAACAAACCTCTTTAAATACCTTCTCTTGGTCTTACACTATCTGTTTTACTTTTAGTCTCTTTTATCAGTCTTAAAAGTAACCAAATCACTTGGAACTTTATTGAAAAGACATTTCTTGGAGATAGAGTTCTGGAAAACAACTGCTCCCTGGCCCCTCCCAGCTTTGCTCATGACTGTAACAATGAAGCCAAGACATTACTGCTATTCCCTCATACATAGAACAATTTCCATATACGAATAATCTCCATATAAACTTTAAAAGTCTCCTTTTATAGTCTACTGTTTTTACCCAAACACCTTATAATGCTCAACTAATGAGAAATACCTTGCTTCTTTTCCATGATCAGCAATAACTCTGTCATCACGACCAAGGTTTCTAGAAGAAATTCGATCCAGTTCCATTGCTATTTCCTCATTCAACCCTTCTAGTCCAAGTGTCTGAAAACGGACATGATGACGAGAGTAACCTGCAAGTTGCTCATCTGCACCAATTCCAGTGAGAATAATCTATAGAAGTTTAAAGAACTCCATATGAAAATATGGCCTACTGTACAATACAATAAAATAAAAGCTTAAAAATTATAGCCATAAAGATAACATTTTTAGAGAAAATTTAAAGTCAGAAAATAGTAAGATATGCTCAATTATTAAGAAGTCATATCCACTATATTATAGTTTAAATACAATTAAAACATGCTATATTCTTGCAGCATTAAATGCCCAAAAGCTTTAAGGGTCAAAATTAGGCTCAAAAATTCTTAAAAGCAGAAATAATGAACCATACCTTTGCATTACTCTGATATGATTTTATTTCATCCTGGATCACTAAGCAACCAGTTCCTCTAGAAGCAAACCAGACTGCACAGCCAATGCTATCATCCAAAACTGTATCCAAAGGTTGAATTAAGTGGCATATTTGAGTTCTTCTCAGTTTTTGGAGTTCTTCTAGAGTAACATTAATTTCAACGAAATTCCAAATTCGAGAAGGATTAACAGCTTGCAGTTCCTTCAGTCCTGCTCTTCCTGTGACTCTATCTGGTACATTATCATCATCAGGACTATTAACAGCAACATTCTTAGAGAATTCTTCAGAAAGTATTTCACAGTAATTTTTCTGTTTGCTTCTTTTTTTATTAAAGCTAGTTGGTGAGATCTTATCTTTACTCATGAAAGCTACATTAAGAAGATCAATTGGTTCATCTAAAGGAATATGACGATCAGCAAGGGTTGCAATCACCATGGAATCGATGCCTCCAGAAAACAGGATTGCAACATTTGCTTTCCTATTACAAAGTTTTGAAACTTCATTTGGTACCAGGTTTTCATCCCTATGTAAATACAAGACACGTCTCTTGACTGCAAGACTCAGGACATCAATGAACTGCTGAACTACTTTTTTCGTGTGTCCATCTGTAAGAAAGACCTGAAGTGTCTCTCTTGTAGGTGGAATGTTGGAAGTGTTTCTGCATTGAGTTTCTAATGTAGCTTGTGGCAATATCATATTTAAAGGAACAATAGGTTTTTTAAGATATAGTTTGGCTTCATTTGCTATTACTGATACAAATGTTGGTAAGTCTGCTGAAATTTGACTCAGTCTATTAACACATTCATCAATAACATTCTCCTTAGAAACAGATTTCCAAGGATATAATTTTAAAATTACACATCTAGAAATGGCAGTAGATTTGAGATCAATTCTAAAAATTCCAGATGCTGGAACTTCTTGCCACTGATTTGCCACTGTAGATTTTGGGGAGCCCACTGAAGAGAGGCAGAAATTCTTGCCCAAATTACTAAAATGCCAAAGCAAGCTACGGCGACCAAAAAAATCCCTACCAAACCATAAGTAATGAGTAGATGCTTGATAATATATGAAAGACCAAGGACCTCGGACTTCTGAGAAGAGTGATAAAATATCAGACTCATCCATACAAGAAGAAAGATAATTAAACATAATCTGAGTATCATTCTCTTCAGCTTCAAATTTTATCCCACTGAAGACTTCTCCATTCCATAGGAACACATTACCTCTTTCATCTTCTACAGGCTGGGCAGTCAAAACACCTCTCAAATGAAGGACATGACCAGAAAATAAACACTGGTAGTTAACATCAGACTTTAGAACCTGTTTACCACTATTGGGTCCCCGTCGCTGAAGACTGTACAGTAAATCTTCTTCTAAATCTTTACTGAAATGTTCAGCAGAAAAGCTTACAGAACAACAGATGCCACACATTGTTATGAAATCAACGTGACTATTTCTTGATTTTAGTTTTCTCTGAATTTTCTATGTCTTGGTATTCTTTTTTCAGTTCATCCAAGATATCTGTGGAAGGGAGAAAGAAAAAAATATTAAGTAAAATTCTTGAACTTTTACTTAGTAATTCATAAGCCAACACAGCTACTTACCAAGCTCAAACTAAACAAGTACACATACTGTGTGAGGGCCAATAATAATTTATAATGGGTTACTAACAAAGCATGTTGATCTTTCAGAGAAATAGTGTGCAATAAGTGCTTATTTTAGTTCAGGCATTTGGCTAAGCACTTTTACATACAATCTTATTTTAAACCCCATGAGACCTTAGAGGATCAAAGTATTTCTCCAAAAGTCACTGTTAGGTCGATGGAGGTGGCTGAGGAACAAAGCACCAAGCAACCTGCGTGCAAAAGAACCACCAATCAGGTGCTGATCCAACCACCTGTCAATCAGCGGGGTCTCCTGGCCAATCCTGGTAGGACAAGGGACTCTAAAAATCCCCTTTTCCTGTCCCAAATTCTCCCTTCCTGCCCTAATCCCAATAAAAATTCCAGTCCAGTTGAGCCGTCCAGTTTTCCTCAGACCCACCCTGTTGGTCTGAGGGTCTTGCCTAGGAGCAAAATCTCAATAAAGCCTCGATCAGCAGCCTTTTAAAATCTGCCTCCTTTTGGTCCCCGCTGCCTGACCTCCAGGGAGAAAATGGTATAATGGTTTTTCCTACATAGATCTGTCAAATTCTTAAGTGCATGTTAATAACTACTGCTTTCCAACACATCTAATGGGTTTTTTTGTTAATTACTATATTTAGAAAGATAACTTGAAACAAATCACTATCAACCTTTAGACATATATCTAAACATTTGTATAYAATTTAATTGAGGCATCATTATGAATTTTCATAGAAAACCTACAAAAGATTTTCTGTGCCTTTCCACACAAAACACTAAAACAAACAAACAAACAAAGGAAAAACCCTTAACTTACTTTTGTTTTCAGAAAGCATTTCTGTTCGGTCTGCAAGAAAGAATATGTTGCTGTTCTGTTGTTGCCTATATACTTTCTGCAAAACATAATTTAGGCTAACATTAAGATTTGGTCTAAAAAAAAGTAGATGTGAAAACTCTAGATGCTGTTATAACTTATTCTTGAGTTTCAAGAATAAAATGTTAAGACTAATATTTAAGCAAAACCAAATGAAAAAATAAAGGTATTTGATCACATTGTTGATACTATGTATACTGAAGTAAAATTTTTTTCCCTCTGTATATATAATACCATTTTCTTTAAACAAAAAAGCTGCCTACCAAACTACACATTTATTATTTACTTTATCAGAAAGTATTGAGAACACTTTTTTTTATCAATAAGTGTTCTTTTACAATATCATATGGTAAAACATACTATAGTTTATTTGCTTAGTCCGCTAATAAAGTATTCTCAGCTCTTCACTAGTTTATGCTATAACTAAATTCTTGGGTGCTTCCATTGTTGTCTTAAGTATTAATTACTACAAATAGAACTGCTGGCTTTGCTACATCCCATCAATTTTTCCTCCAGAAAGCTTGCATTAATTTGACATAACCTCTAATATCATACAAGAGACAATATCACAAATGTCTAAACTATCAGTTATTAAATAATCTTTAAAGTGCTTTAAAGAGCTCAGAATCATTTCTTTTTGAACTTTAAAATGAGTTTTCATAGTGTAATTATACATGGAGCAGTAACTTGGTTATTAATGAATATGTTGATGGAAATGGTATTAAATAACCATATTTAGAAGATTTAGAAGAATATTTAGAAGGTTTGTCTAAAAATTTTTGGGGGGAAGGAGAAGCAATTTATCCTTTTTTCTTCAACAGTTATCCACAATCAATTAAAGGAATAGTATCCCCTCTTCTCAACAAATTTAAAGATAATTTGCTTCAAAAGAAAACACCAATTCAGGTACAAAATAGTATCAATGGTGATTATAGCTCCAAGATACCAAAGTACAATTAGTGACATTTGTTCCAATGATAATGTGAATGATAATATGACAGGGGAAAACATATAACACATATTCAACTATAAAATCTATCTATATGCACATTAAAAAAACCTCAAACTAGGAATAAGTTTACAATTTAAAAAGATGCTGATACAATTCTTTTCTTTTTTCTTGTTACTGGGGATTGAACCCAGAGGTGCCTTACCACTGAGCCACATCCCCAGCTCTTTCTATTTTGAATCAGGGTTGCACTACATTGCTTAGGCCCTTGCTTAGTTGCTGATGCTGGCCTGAAACTTGTGGTCCTCCTGCCTCAGCCTCCCAAGTTGCTGGGATTATAGGCATGTGCCACCGTACCCAGCCAGATACAACTCTTATGTATAATTCTTATAATTTTATTATATAGTTAACACATATACAAATAATCAACACCCCCCTATTCAGAATTACTCTAATGACTCACCCTGTTCTTCTTCAGGTTAGAAAGTTCATCCACAACAATTTTTTGTTCTTTAATCTATCGAAATAAAGAAAAACTCCTTAAATCAGAGGTTTTCAAAGTATGCTCAATAAAGAACTTGAAGTGACTCTTTTAAAACTAGAAAGATGAGCTAGGATAAGGAGATATCACATACAAATTGTCCAAATGGGCAGTCTGTAAATATATAGGTTTTTTTCAACAGCAGTCTATGAGGGGAGACAGGAAAGAGAGGAGGAGTGAGTGGTTTTATCTGCCAAGAGTTAGGCAACCCAATGAGTTCAGACAGAGAAGTTGGTTTTAGCAAGCCGCATTCATGCCAAGGGTCAGTTTACTAAACACAGTTTATACCTTTTATTAAAAATAGACAACATGCACCAAAAGTAATACCAATCTTTTGATTAACTTTTAAAAGTTATGTGTTAGCTTAAAAAATGGATTAAGAGGTGGGCTACTTTTTCTAATTGCTAGTGCTTTTCATGACTTATGTTAGCACAAAAAGACTGGACTGGACGCAAACTTCATAGATCATTTCAGCCTTTTGTTCAGGATTGGGATTATACCCACGGGAATGGACCCATTTTCCTAGTGGAAAATGAGCCACTGGCCAAAGGAGGGGTTATACTCCTTAACTTATGTAAGTTATACTGAGAGGTGATTTAGTGAGTGTGTCAGTTTGGGCACTCAGAAATTTGGATTTTTGGGTTGGGGGTCAGTGACCAGTGCCTGGAGAGGATTTACCTTGGAAGAGATTAGTGTTTCATAGAGACTGTCATTCTAGGTTTTATGAAACACTTTCTCCCCACCAGTGGCCAGCATCTGAAAAGGATTTATCTAAAAGAGATGAAAGCTATCAATGTATGGCTTTTTCTTTCCTTTTCCCAGGCTACACTATCTTGGGGTTTTTCATTTTCCATATTTAACAACTTATGTACTAAATGATACATTCAGACATTTAGATCTACCAAACAGTACTAAATGCCCAAATAGTACTATCTGGGGCAGTATAATGTTATCACTTTTGTGATTGTATCATTTCCCTTCGAATATTAGACTAAGCACAGTGTTGGCACTGTTGAACTAGATTATACCTTTTAATCAAAAGAAGACAGCTCAAGTAAAAACAATTTTTTAAAACTCTTTTCAGTAACTATATCAGTAGTAAATGTATGGTAACAGTCAGTCTGGGCTATGTTTTGAAAATTCATCCCTACCACTATGAATGTGCACCTGTCTCCACAACTGACACAGGTGTACAGTATGGGACTAGACTGGATTAGATTCCCAGGCAAAATCTGTACGATCTCCTCCAGAATTTAGTTTGTTTGTACAGTACTTTCCCATTTATTTTAGGAATGGCAAGTATAGTTTTTATGTCAAAGAAGGATACTGATATAGGGAGATAAAAGACACTTGATCGAGATGTCACTGGTAGTTTGGGGCAGAACGAAGTAGAATCTAGGACACTTTATACGTGAGAGGCTATACCTATTCTTCTTCATGGAGGTTTGAAGATTTTGTCTATTTATGGCAGTTAAGATTAATGCTATGTTGACTTCCTTTTCCCCTATTTCTCAGGAGAGAAGTGACAATCGGGTGCATGTTATAATCTAGGTAAGAAAAAGCAATAACTGACAGAGGAGGAGGGACCTTAGTAAGCCTTTGCTGGGGTCCCGACAGGAGGAAGGTGGCTGCTCGGTGGCGTTAAGAGTGTACTAAGCACTGAGATGAAAGGGGCATGTTTGAAATGAGCTTCAGAGGCAGAACATATAGGTCTTCGTGATGGACATTAAGGATGACTCCCAGTTTGCTGGCGCGGATAACTGCATGGAGAATATTCGTGGCCCAACAGATTTGAGGTTTGGCTGGTTTAAAATGAGCAAGGGGGCAAAAATCAACCAAAATCTCCGCCCCAATGTGACCGTCACCTGGGTCTAGTCTCAAGGCAAGTTTCAAGGTCTCCCTTAAGTTAACGCAACTATTTCAGGAAAGGATTAACTGCAGCTGTCAAGCGCTACCAATGAGAAAAACAAAGCAGAGCGGCAAAGCTGAGGTGGAGCCAAGTCCCCAGGTTGCTCGCGGCAGACCATCTCTGGGGCCCAGTGACGCCAGGTCCTGGGCCCCGAAGTTTCTCGTTGCATCCCATGCTCACCTTGTTGCTAAGCTCCTCCTTCTGTGCGGTCGAGTTATCGGTGGAGACCAACACAGCGCTATCCTCTGACCGCGTCCCACGGATGGGCATCTCCACGCCGCGCAGCATGTGCAGGCTGCACCCTTGAAGCGCCAGCAGCCTTTAGTCCCAAACACGGCGCGTGCGCGCTCTCAGAGGCTCCACCCCCCCATCTCCCTTCTGAATCCTACCAATGTCATTTGCACTCTCACTTGGACGCACGCGCAGACCAGGTCTGGCCCCCAAAGTATCTATGCGCATGCGCATAGCTACTTAGCGTGCAAAAGCGCAGAACCTGGTTGCGGAGCCTACAAGGTTCCCGAGTCGTCCCCTAGTGGATTGGAGGTAGAAGCGCTTTTGCGATCTCTTCACTCCCTCACATCCAAGGTTATATGCGCCTCCCAGTGGTAAATACAAAGAATAGTAGCTCAGTAGAAATACAGTTATCTAGGCAAAGATATGAAGCTAAGGTAAAGATTAAAGACATACAGTGCTGGAACAAAACTGTACTGACCAGATACGTTTTTGTCGACTTGTGGTTAGGGTTGCCAAATTAAGACATAGTTTTGTATGAATTTCAGATGAATGAATAGTTTTTTTAAGTGTATATCCCATGCAGTATTTGCGATATCTCATCCTCTGAGGAAAAAAAAGACTAAAACTTGGAAATAGGCTAAAGAGATTATTGGGTTCTTTCAGCACTCTTCTGGGTTTGACTTTCTATTGACAGTAAATCATCCCAACTCAGGCAGGGATTAACTATAGAGGAGGAGGGCAAAGGAAAGAGATAAACTTGTAGATTTTTGTCTGGTTGAAGTACAAATAATTTGTTTTGTGGACCAGATAACACCACAGGATGTGACTTACTAACATTTCTTTACTAACATACTGCCTAGTTGTAAATGCTCTTTGAATTGGTTTAACATTTTATTGGATCTTTTATTAATAAGTTTAATAAAAATTTGCCCTGTGCTAACTTCATATTTTCATGGGAAACATGATTTTTGAAAATTATTCTCTAATATTGAAAATATCAAATTTCTGTGGAGATGGTCAAGTGGACTCGTGATGAAGCCAGACTGTATGACTTAAAGGAATGCACTCCAGGGGGTAAGCCCAAGGTATATCTTTTATTGGCTTTTGGAGTAAATCCTAAAGATTATAAAATTCATACTTTTTATTTTTACTTTTTATTGATTGTTTTACCTTTTTCTTTTTGTTTGTTTTTTTCTTTTTCTTCTTTTCTTTTTTACATTTCTAATAAATTATTCCACAGAGGCAGTGGCAATGATTGGAATTTTAGATTATGGTTTAACCATTTGGTGATATTTGTTGGATGACAGACATCTAGTCTCTTTTAGAAGAGAGATGCCAGTTAACCCAGTTTGTTAGTTTTTTTGTCTTTTGTGATTTCAAATTAATTTTGTACCCAGTAAGAAGGAGAATAGCTATGTAAGATTTGAACTGGTGAAGTTTTGTTTCTGTGTTTTTCTTGCAATCTGAGATTGAGGTTGTAAAACTGAAGCAATAAGGTCTGTATGTGTCTCTGTATTTATACTTTTAACAGGCTTTATATTTCACTGTGTTAGAGGGTATTAATAAATCTACTATAATGTCCCTTAATTTAAAAAGTCTTTGATTTATAGAGTTTATAAGCAGTTGTATAAATCCCCAGTACTTTAAATGTGCTAGACTTTTAGGAAAAAATTTCTTCTTATAAAACTGCTAGCTCAGAAACATTTTAAGAATCACATTTATGTAATTAAAGTGAATCTTTGGAAAAATGAAATTGAATCAATAAATTTGATTTAATAAAGAAAAGCAATTATATGTCTTTTCTCTGATGTATCAATGTTAAGTAAAATACATGTACATGTTTTATACTTTATAACATTTAGATTTGTTTTCTCATAAAAAGATACACTACTGAAATTTACTAAACTTATTTTATTGATTAATCAAGTTTGTATTACTGCTTCATAATGTTTAAATTTATGAAAAAATGAGCATTCAGATAAACTTTTTATATCAATAATAATTATATTTAGTACTGCATAAATTTAAACATAAATCTATAACTTAAAACCTTGAGGTAATATTGAATTAAGTCAATGATTAAGTGTTAGAAAACTAGTTTATTTATAAAGTTGATTATGGAAACATTTATGAAAATAATTTTAAGTTTATAAAACTTTATTTTTGTTTTTATATGTCTTAGAATAGCTATCCTTTTGGGTCATGTTAATGAACATGTTCATTTCTGTCACCTTCAGAAGGTGTGAACAGAATGGGTATAGTGGTAGATGGTTGTGTTGTATACTTAGGAGTTCGGTTAATCTGTTAACATGATTGCATGTGACCACTGTCAATTATTAACATCCATCCAATTCGCTCTGAAATAGAAATTACTAAATTGGTTAAATGTTATAATTAATATGTAATTATTATGTACTAATTATGTAGTTATAATTAATATGGTTGAAACTCTATTAGGGGAAAATATAATAGAAAAACGCAGGGTAGTAGAAAGACTCTTGTTTTGCAAAGACATAGGGGTTCTAAAGGTAAGTATCACTTAGTTCCAGGATATGAAAGAGCAGTGAAAAATGAAACTTGGGGTTATAGTAAGTTGAAGAGGTTTGATGAAAGTGAACTTTATTTACCATTCTTAATATAATTGGCCCTTAAAAAAAACTATGTAGTATGCTGAAATTTTGGAAAAGTTCATTTAGTTTTGGAGGCTGAGGTACAAGGTAAATGTTTTTTAAAGACTTTTACTGCCAAATGTTATATTAATGAAAATTGGTGGCATTTCTCTTTTAAACCACCTCTGGATCCATTTTCAAAAACCTTGGAATGAACTTCATCAATTGGGATATCTTTTTTTTTTTATTGGTTGTTCACAACATTACAAAGCTCTTGACATATCATATTTCTGGGATATCTTTTTAACTAGTGTCTAGAGATGAAGTTTATATATAACTAAAGAGACTGAGCATCCCAATACAGTCCTCTTTGCACCCCATCATCTATTGTAAGGGCTAGAAAAGTATGAATTCTAGTTAATGTTTAAATTGATTTTTTGACTCACAATTATGTCCATATTGAGTATCCACAAACTGCTTATTGGGATACATCAGTTAATTTCCTTTTAAAAGTGGGTTGTTGTTTATGACTTTGCCTTCTTCTGTTGTTTTTGTTTCTTCAAAGGAACCACTCAGGATGACAATACTAAACAAAGTGATGATGATCATATTGGCGTGGTGCTAACCTGTTTCTACATTTTTATAGTTTTTTTCTTTTCGTGTTTATCCAATTGCTTCTATTTACTTCTTCAGTTGCTGAAAGTTCTGTGTTGTTTAACCCCCACTTCGGGGTTAGCTGATATTATTTTTCATGCCCAACTGGTGCAGGACTATCCATCTACAGCCCACTCTACAACCAGCGAGGCTATTCTTCCTCTGTTCATGATACATTGCTGTTGTGTATTCTAATTAATAGGATAATTTCATGTTTATTAATGCTATTTATAGTATTTCTGTAATGCTACATCCTTTATTTTATTCCCACAATGTATAGTTCATCATGGATCATTTTATTAAAATGATGCTATTAGCCTGTATTCTGAGGTTCTGAATGAACAGTCCCCAATTATTATTCTTTCATGCTTTTTCAGTATACTCCAATGTAAATTTGTCCTCTGACTGTCTCTCCCAAATGAAGTCTGGTATAGTTCTATGGTTCCCAAATATCAGTCCATAGGTGAGTGCCCTTCTCATATATAAAATCACCTGAAAGTCTTATTCAGATACAGACTTCCTCGTCTTTTTTTTTTTTTTTAAAGATTTACTCAGTCTAACATTTGGGCATGGGATCTGGTTGTTTGCCTTATAGAATAGTGCTTATTACCATTAACCCTGTATTCAAAACTCCTAGGTTTGAATTTCAGCTTCTACATTTATGTGATGTGTGACTTTGGGTAAATCATTAATCTCTCAAGTCCCAGTTTCCTAATCCATAAAATGGGAGTAATAACAGTGCCTAACTCAAAGGGTTATGGTGAGGATTTAAATGAGATTATATTGATAGGGAGTTCTTTAATAGTTTCAGGCACATATTAAGCTTTACAAGAATGTGTGTTAAATAGATCAGCAGTTATCCTAGATAATTTTTACACAAACAAGGTTTATGAATCATTAAAATAGAAAAATCCAGGCTTTGAAGTTCTTGACTTGTTTCTTACTGAAGATATGTCTTTTCTTCCAATGATTCTCATCAAGGCTAAGGGTATCCCTAGCTGATGATTTAAAAAACATATGAAGACATTTTTGGTTGTCACAATGATTTGATGGTTCTATTAACTCTGATAGGGTAGAAAAAACTGAGATCCACTTGTAAAGAAATAGACTGAACCACAGACTCTTAAGAAGCTAGACCAGCAGGGCAAAGGACAGTCTCAGCAAATAGACAGTCCTGGTTGTTGTGTTGGGCAGGAATATGGATAGGACCCAGGAGATGAAATCAAGGAGCGGTAATATCACAATCTAAGGAATTCTGTCAGAAGGTAGAGGGCCCGGATACTGGTCTGGTGTTTACAAGGATGTTTGGAGGATTTGAGAGAGGGACTACCTGGTTCTTATCACAGAAGTTTGAGGGGAGAATGCAGGGACTTTGCCCTAATAATAAAGCACACTGGGCTGGTCTTGGCCCCTTCAAGGGAGAAGTTAGAATCTCCAGGGACTGGGCTAGAGGTGAGTAGATGTTTTCTGTTTGAGATAAGATTGATACTGAAGTTTAGCTTTAGCTGTGGAATGTGAAGATTAGGGACCCTTGTACCTGATCCTGTAGCCACAATCGCTTTGGGGCTTTTGTAAGGTCAGGGGCTTAGGATGAGATGAGTATGTGCCTAGGGTGCAAAATTTAAAGATGCATTCACTCTCAGGTCCTGCAAGTGTGTGTCTCTCTGAATTTTCCACCCAGGCACCTCACGTTTCTTATCCTGGTCTCAACTCTGCTCTCCTCCAACCTCCATTCTAAGAGTTCTTATTGGTGTTTCTGTCTTATAATCTAGCAGTCAATGTGGCTTGTGAATGACACCAGTGAAAGATGCTTTACAAGCTGCCTGTACTTGCCGTACATACCTTTACATGTCTGTTTATCAAAATTATCTTACCTTCTTTTGAACTCTGCCA